GAGCGCAGCTACTCGTATACCCTTGACCGAAGGACGGTCTTCCTTCTATCGGGGATGGTCGTCCTCTTCGACCGAGCGCGCAGCTTCGGGAGGGAAGCACATAGATCGGTGAAGGAGGAAGGGGGACACCCGCCTAGCCCGCCAGATCAGCCGAATCAACCCCGGCGATCAATGGGGTGACAGATGCCGCAGCCAGATCGCCCTCACATCCAAGCCAGTCTCTTTGTAAACTTTCACTAAAATGATAAAAAAATTAAAAAGAGATCTTTTGAAGTGTGTCCAATATAATAAGTTCTTTGATCTCTTAGCTTTTGCTCTCATGGATATTGATAACCCATGTAAAACAAAATCTTTGACAATTCTAGCATTCCATTTTTTTCTTTTTAAATAATTTTTTTAATATTGTGATTTTAACAAAAGTTTATGGAAAAGTTAGGTTTTCATTCATTCATTGTTGTACATTTCACCCCTCCCCCTCCCCCAGTTTACTTTTTTTTTTTAAAATATTCATTCATTTTTGCACAATGTACATCTTATTCTGGGTTGTTGTCATATGTATAATGCCTATTCATATATTCCTTTTAAATAGTTCTTTCCTTCACATGTTCCAATGCAATATTTACCAAAATACAAGGAACTCATAAAATATTACACAGCATGGGTGAACCCTCAGGCACAAAAGGACAGAAACTGCATAACATCATTGTTATAAAACAGGACTGACAAGAGGGGAAAATAATGTATTCCATGATTCTCATCAGGTTTTTTAATGGTACAATTATTATGTGAATATTTGGGTTTTTATTTTAATGTACAATTAAGCCATAGACGGCAGCCAATGATCTTCATCAGTAAGTGCTTCAAGTCCTCTTGCTTTTCACTAAAAATGTTGTGTCCATTTGCATATATTCGAGTTGTTGGGTCTTCCTTCAATCCTAATGCCACATTATTACAGTGGTCTAGTTTCTCAGTTTAGTTACTCAAATGCACACTGAAAAGAAAGGGTGAAAAGATACCCCTCCTCTTTGCTGCAGTTGGTAGAAATGTCTACCAGATTTCCTTGTGACTAATGATACTTGGTACCAGCAGTCAGGAAATCAAAAAGCGTATCGCGATGGGAAAGTCTGCTGTTAGGGACCTCTCTAAAGTACTCAGGAGCAACAGTGTCTCT